GCTAGTTTGTTTTGCAACCTCTACTTCATTAGTCCTGGAATTCTTCTATATGCAGGACAGATGTAATCACTATGAAATCTGGAGCTCTGCTAAGGCTGTAAGACAGCAAAAGGAACAAGTGGAATGAACATTCTTTTAAATGCTTTTATAACAAGCATTATTTGCTTTCACACCAAAGAACTACAGTAATAGGGTTAAAAAAATCTTCCCTTCTTTCTGATGGAGACCCTATGGACATTCTGTGGTGTCATCCTGCAGGATGGAAATTATCTCATCACCAGTAGCTGATTGCTGCTGAATAAAGGCTTACTTTTGCAGCTTCATCACGTTGTGTGCTAGCTCTGTACATCTTGAAATTGCAGAATAATGCCCTTAATCCGTGGTTATTTGCCTCTGCCAGTAGAGTCATTCTAGCTGCGCAGGCAAAACTATGCAACAGGATTTCAGGGTATGAGTGCAGATGCTGTAGTGACTTCACAGTTGGTATGAGAATAATGTCAGAGATATAACTATAGTATACTGACTGCTGAACTACATAAAATAATTCTATTTTCTACAGGGAAAAGAAGAAAAACGTTGGTGTTCACTATATGAGGTGTCCTTGTCCTTTTTGGGGATAATTGTCTCCGTCTTCACATTTTTGGAAAAAAATGTACGAATCAGTTGTAGGATATTATTGATTAATTTTTAAAGTATTTTTTTCAGTTTGTAATTGATGAAAGTTAATTTGTTTTAAGGGAGGTGTCTTCTTAGAAAATATTTAGTAATGATTTCAATGATACTGTAACTTTATTATTTTTTTTAGCAGTGTGATGTACAAGAAAAAAAAGTATTTTGCTTTTGTTTCTGCTGCCAACGTTTTTGGTGGTACCAAGTGTAGAGCTAAAGTCTGTAAATATATTTTTTCGGTTCCTTTTTGCATAGTCATCTCGTGAGGCTTACAATAATCTTCAACTGCTTTCTGCTTTGGCCTGACACAGAGAAGCTGTAACCCTGACTCTATCAGGGTCAGGCTGGCATCCATTCAGGAACCTGAGGGCTATGACTCAATGTAGGAGATATCTGTTATCCTCCCATTTAATAGAGAGGTGTGGTTTGTGGAGACAATCTCTGCAGCCTTGGTCAGAATAGGCTGGCCTGCATGTTGAGGCCTGCGGCCTTTGTACGCTCTGGCTTCTCCCAGGTCAGATTGGTCCTAACACTAGAGAGACATTTAGCAATAAGAAACAGCCCCTGAAAACTTCTCCAACCTGTTCGTGGGCATGGGAATTACAGTAGGTGGGGTGGGATTTGCAGTTTATCTCTTCAGAGGTTGGAGAAATTCCCCAACAGTTTCTCACCATTGAAGCTCACCATTAACAGCAAAATAGCTGCGTTTCTCCCTCTTTGCTGTGACCTCTCCCCCCCCTTGCTGTTGCTGCAATTAGCAGCAGCTGTAATTGTTCTGGCAACCATTTTGTGTCCTCTCCTGAAGTGTGGTGGTTAGCTTTGTCAGTTTGAAGTAATCTCTCGGGTCCACTATAAATTTACTAAAATGAGCCTAGGGCAAGGCCTTATCTCTTTGGTTCATCCCCTTACTTCAGTAGTAGCAGTGGCAGTTGTAGTAATACTGATTATGATGATGATAAAAACAATCTTCACCTACAAACTTGTGCTAAATTTTCCTTAGATAACGTATGCAAAGCTTGTTTGGCGCTCTGGAAAAGCAGTGTCTTAATACTAAATATTATTGTATTCTCGAAGTCTTTTGTGGCCAGGATCCGATGGTTGTTGTGGGTTTTTCGGGCTGTTTGGCCATGTTCTTAAGGTTTTTCTTCTTAACGTTTTGCCAGTCTCTGTGGCCGGCATTTTCAGAGGACAGGAGTCAGAACTCTTGTCGGTTCTCTGTTGCAGATATTATTGTTACTTTGCTGCTTATGACAACTTAGAAGGAAAACTAATGTGATTTCTCCAAGGCCCTATGAATCATCCATGCAATTCTGTTACTCTCTGGAAAGCATTACAGCAATTATTGTGGTGGCCATGGGTTATGTGGAGAACCAACCAGTAACACTTTCCAAGCTTTTTATCCAGCAGACAAGTGTTCAGGCTCCATGGCAGCTAAACCCAACCCACAGTGCCAATAGTAACTGTTCTCTCTCTATCAACCTTTCTCCATTCACAACATCAAATCTGAAAGATACCTTTGAGGAACCCTTCTTTACTTGGACGTCCTTCTTAATACATTGAATGATCCTCCTGTTAACTGCGACAAGATAAGCAGAGTTGTTTCTGTATATTTAAACAGCACTTGCCTGCCATCTGTTTTCATTGGTTTGGCACACACAAAGTCGTCTCCAGATTGCAGTGTAGGTACAGTTCCTATCTGTAGCTTCGCTTACCTGTTTGTGCAGCAACTTGAAGTGAAATCAAAAGGTCACAAAGGAAAAAAGAAAAGAATCCCAGGAGTCCGGAGAGTCTATTAATAAAAGGTAAATAAATAAACCTGCTCACAAAAAATGCATAACTTTTATCCTGGATGCTTTGGAACGCAAGCGTTTACACCAGGGATTTAGACCTTTCACTTGTGGTTTTGGCAACAGCTTCACACAAATGTTTTGCCCTGGTAGTCTCTTAGCCGTTTAAATAAATGACAAAATCAAACGCCATCCATACAGACAAGAGAGCTGGACACTTTGCCAAGGATGAAGTATGCTGTTGGACTCACATGTGTGGCTATCAAATCAACAAGCCAGCTGTAGTTTTCTAACAGGGAATTTGTGTGTGTGTGTGTGTGTATGTGTGTGTGAGAGAGAGTGAGAGAGAGAGAGAGGATGCTGGTTTCTAATTCCATTGAGTTTATGCAGAGTTTAATCCACATTATTGGTATTTGTGGGCTTGGCAAAATATGCAGAGTAGTCCTCATTCAAAGTGTGCATTTACTTGTTGGTCTATTGTCCATATGAAAGATCCATATACTGTAGATAGAAGAAGATTATAGCAGACTTGTGAGATCTAGTCTAGATACGTATTTTACTTCAGTATTTGGTGATTAGAAACAAGTGTGCAATTGTTGGAGCTGTATTATTAGTATGCAGCTTATTTGTATATTTGCAAAACTTTAATTGTTAATGTCTGTCCTGTGCTCTGTAGTGCAATCATACTAGAAGTACAGATAAAATAAACCTGCCAGCTGTGAGACTCATAAGTTTATGACAGAAGCTGCTTTTGATTATTAACTATCCGAATTCAAAGGCTTGAAGTAAACACTGTCTGCAACTGGAGTCATAGTTATTGAAAATAGGGTTGTAGCAGCCTGACCGAGTTCTGATTTAACACTGACTGAAAGTTAACGTCACGCGATATGTGTCTGTGTGTACACATTTTTATGCTTTTATTTAATTGCTTAAGTCATAGTGCGACATTCTGACGGCTGCCAAGACAGCAAGTGCTTCCAACAGAGCAGGAACAGAGACTAAATACAGTTTTAAATAACAGATGATTTCTAAGATGTGTGTATTTTAAATGAATAATACATTTTGAGGATGCAATGTCATTTTTCAACTAATGGAGGGAAAGAAAGATTGCTACAGAAATAGACATAGGAAGCAGAATGTGTAAATGGAATATTCAAACTACTGTACATTGCTGGCTACAGCTCAGGTGGCAAGGCATCTCAGATGGACTATGATTGCTTTTCCCTGGTGTCTTTGTTAAGTTGTTCGAGTTGTTGCAGTTTATCTGTCCTGATGTTCTGAGCCTGGAATCTTATCCTCGGTTCTATGCATTAGGATAGTATTAAACAGTTTCCCTGATTTGCATCCTCAAAACAACCTTCTTGGTAAGCTATTTTAATTCTCTTCCTGCCCACTGTTCCATGTTTACCTGGTAAGAAGGCTTATTGCCTGGATCCCTACCGGTATTATTGTTGGATGGTGTTCCAGAAGTAATTTTTTTTTCTTGTTTTGTTAAGTGTAGAGTTATCACTTCCATTACATGACAGGTTATAGTTGTATGAGTTCTTGTTTAGAATATCAAGGAGCTTTTATCAACCTCTATATATAATCATGAGCCACTGTTGGGCAAAACATTTATTAGAACTGATCAAAAGGCTACAAAAGTGTGTTGCATTTGGGTTCTCCAGAACATTTCTTCACATTAGGTGGTACAAAAATTTTGGCATATGGGAGAAGAAATAGAATCACAGGTATCTAAAGCAATGTTGGAAAACTAATGTGTAGGGTTTTCCCCCCTCCCTCGATAATTGTTATAATTTTCTTGCTCAGCTATTTTAGTTTTTAGAACAGAGGGAACAGCAAGTGTGCATTTATGTTTCTGCAAAGCTATATCGACACATTCTTTTTAAAGTACTGTACTGTAGGTTTGCTATTGCTATTGTTTGCTGTGTCCAGAAATAAATCACATACTTTCTGTAGGCTGAATTGACAGACTTGTGCTAGGACACAGACAATTCTGCCAAATCTGTCTTAAAAATTCATCCATAAAATGTCTTCTTATTATAAGTAGAGCTCCTAAAAATATGAATGACCCATAAAATGTTATAAACAAGGGATATGCCTAATCCACAGTTAGACTGAGATGCTAGTAGAGATCTACCCATGGCTTAAAAGATACAAACTAGGGACTAAAACACACATATACCCAATAGTATGGTAAAAACTAAATAACTGTCCCTTATTTATTAAGACTCATGACTTGTGAAGGTTTTAGGCAGATAACAGAAGTGCTCCCCTAGAAACAAGGAAATGAAACACCCCAGATAAACCAAATAAAACAAAACAATGATACCAGAAGTCTTATCACAAGTCTGGTAAGTCTGCTTCTGCCTCATAATGACTGCAGGCATCTGTTCTCCCCGAGCTTTCAGCCTCTATCCTGTGAGTTTGTTAAGAAATGTGCCCTGTGAAATCAGGCATAGCAGTTTTACGTTGCTGCTGCTCTCCATTTTCCTTTTCAGAAATAGGTACCACTGACAGATTTTTCTATTGTTTTCTCCTCAGGGCCGTCCAGGCCTGCAAAGCTGCCGGCGGCCTCCATAACTGCCTCTTCCCACCCTCACATATCAGTGACTGCACCGCCACCTCTCCGTGCTCTGACCTCAGTCCCGCCCTGCCTGAGCCTGCCCTGCTGTGGTGTGTGCGCAGTCTCAGTTGGTGGGTCTCAGAGTGAGACGCCAGACACATTTGGATGTCATTGTCAGTTGTCAGGTAACAGAAACATTTTATTGTCGCTCTCTGATGGCCAGGTGCCTACGTGATGTGTCCTCTTAACCCTGAGAGCATCCTTTCCATTCAGATGCATCAGGGCATAGTCAAAGCAATGTAGAATTATGTCCCCACCATTTTTGAGGCAGGAATTGAAATTAATTTGCTCTTCTCTTGTCCCTTTTGGAGGGACTTAGTTGACCTCAAATGTGGCTCCAAGGCCTGTTGCTGCTGGTTTGGTTTATGCCACATTGCAAACACATGGCTGAGAATCCTTAAAAAAATGAGATATTGTGATATCAAGATTTCATCTGAGGGGTGATTACTTTAAGCTTAATTGGATAACATTTGGCATCTGAGATCTTCCTTCTCGATGATTTGGACTCTTCAGATCTCATAAGTACATGACAGTCTTGTGGTTCGTACACTTTCCCTCCATTAAAAGTGCACTCTCCCTCTTCCACTCAGTCTCTGCATCTTATTAATGTCTTCCTTGTTTCATGAGGACCTTGCGTAGAAAGCGATGAAAGGAAACCAGTCTGGCCAGACAGGACCTTAAAGGCCACTTAAAGGATAAGCTACCTCAGGCTACCCAAAGGTCAGCCTGAACCCTTTGAGATATTATGTGAAGTATTCAATGGGTGAATGTGACTGTTACAAAGGTCCTGGTTCCATGGTACTACAATTGAAAGATTTAATATTCAGAACCCACAAATTTAAGTACAGTTTCACATTATATATTGTTGAACTACAGTGTTCACTGCCACAAGATGAGATGATTTCCACCATTGCCCGTTGTTTTAAGAAAGAGGTTCGATGCATTTCTGGAGGACAAGGCTGTATGTAGGCTTCTAGTTGCAATGACTATACAGTATGTTGTCTCCAGGATGCCTCTGAATACCACTTGCTAGGGCACAGTAGCGTGGGACTTCCACAGAGGCATCTTGAGTGGCCACAATCATAGCTAAGATAGCCATTGTAAAAACTGATGAAGAGATAGCCTGATAAATGTAGTGAGGTAACTAAGCAAAGCAAAGCGTGGAAGAAGTCAGTTGCAAATGGCTTGTTATTTGTTTACTCTTATACATAATCTTTGTAACACTGAGGTAAAAATTCATCCCATTTCCAGTCTAAGTCAAACTTGGTAGTTATTTCAATATACTGTATAGGGGGGTTTCATTGTATGGTGGAGAAAGAATAATATGGTTCAAGCGCTGATCCATACTGTATCTTGGACAGGAAGAGAGAGGTACTTTTGTACCACAGACTAGTGTCTTGTAATAGCATTCCATTTTAAAAAAAGTAACAAAAATAAATAATTCAGGAGTAGGAGAATTGTAAGTTACTCTTTAATAGTAACCAATTAATTTTCTGGTCTTTGGAAAGAAAACTGCTCCTACTTTTACTTTTAAAAAATATCCAAGGTTAGATTCTTCTGGTTTCCGGTTACCATCCCTAGAGAATAAAGTCTTTGGCTAAACTTTAAAGAAACAGTTTGAGTTTATTTTGATGTTGCCAACCTTTTCTGTATGAATAATAGGGACAAATGTGGTAATAAAGAATATGAGTGGCAAATATGGGGAAAGAGTAATTCCAGATTAAAATTTTAGTTGTTTTTGAAATGACGATCGATCGATTGATCGATCGATCGATAGATACCACTTCTCACTGTATCACAAGATAGATAGATAGATAGATAGATACCACTTCTCACTGTATCACACAACTTTCCTTCCTTGCTAATAATAAACATCTAGGAAAGAAAATGAAAGAAATAAAGAAAGTGAATATCAGAAGACAAAGAAAGGAATGGATTGGGAAGGAGAAATGAAAAGAGACAAAAGGGTCAGAAGTTGGCCAACCATGAACAGATGGAATGGAAGTATATGTGTTTCATACGAAAGCAGGGCCATAAATTTTTGCCAAATTAAGAAACAAAGTGAATTTCAGCAATCTCACTCCTATTATTGGATAGGATAAATAAGATAAATGCATAGCTAATGTTCATTTCGTGCCTGCAGTCCAGACATTATCCCTGAGGGTTGTATTGCTTATTATTTTGTTACATAGTTTTCTTTATGTGGCATATGGTGAGCTGCGGAGTAGTAGGTGCACTGCGTTGTCAGGAACTTATAATGGAGAACAGATTGAGGTTGGCCACTGCTCCATCATCGAAAAGTACAGAAATAATTAAAAAAGAGAACAAGGAAGACAAGAAACATCAAAAGGGAGGACAGTCTTCACAAAAATAGGGAATTTTTGTATTAAATATGCATATGCTAATTTAAATTAATATAAACAAATGTTATCACAGTTAGGTAAAGTTAAAGGTTCCCCTTGACAATTTTTGTCCAGTCGTGTTCGACTCTAGGGGGCGGTGCTCATCCCCGTTTCCAAGCCATAGAGCCAGCATTTTTGTCCAAAGACAATCTTCTGTGGTCACATGGCCAGTGCGACTTAGACACGGAACGCTGTTACCTTCCCACCGAGGTGGTCCCTATTTATCTACTTGCATTTGCATGTTTTTGAACCGCTAGGTTGGCGGGAGCTGGGACAAGAGACGGGCGCTCACTCTGTCGCGTGGATTCGATCTTATGATCTTCTGACCCTGCAGCACAGGCTTCTGCGGTTTAGCCCGCAGTGCCACTACGTCCCTGTTATCGTAGTTAGACAGTTGCTATTTTGTTATAACATGCCACGTCATGAATACTAGTGGGATATTGTCTGAGATGTGAACAGCATATATTACAAGACCATGTAGGCATTACATGTAGGTAGAATGGATATCATTATCTTGACCTGCATCTTACTTACTGTGCATCTGTTTGATGCAAGGTTGATAAATCAAATCTGAAGTTGAAACTTGTGAGCTGGTTTTAGTCCATTTCAAATGTAAAGATTGGTTTCACACTGTTTGGCAGAAAAGGGAGGTCTTGTTTTTGGGTCACAACTCCCAGATTCTCAATGCCAGTGTGATTACTACTGTAATCACATTGAGTAACATTGAGTAACAATGAATACATCCTCCTCATAGTTTGCATAAAGATGTTAATAAAGGATGCAATAATTCCATATTTTTCTTTTTCCTTTTTTTTTCCTGGTGTGTGAACAAATGCTGTGTTGTTATTCTGGTGCTATTTCTGTAACTTATACAACACTTTACAATAACAGGAAAAATGCAGAACCCTGATTGCAAGAGATTATGATACAAATTAAAATGGAGCAGAGGGGAGGAAACAAGAGGAGAATATGAGCAAATATTTTTATACTTATGGGCTTTTTCATTTGTGGGTAGGTTTACGTAGGCATAAATTCCCAAGTAGGTGGAACTTGAAGCTGATGTCTGGAAAGGAGGGAAAGCCACTGATGGCCTTACATATTTTTCTGGGATATGATTCCAAGCATGAATGACAAATAAAGATGGGTAATGTTCTTTTAAAACTATAGGTAGCTCAGTGTGGAAAGCTTGGAAGAGTAAAGATCTTGGCCATGAATATATACTGATGCTTCAGAAATAAATGAAGTGTAAATGTGTTTGACAGAGGAATTAGAGACCAAATTGCTAACATGCGCGAGATTATGGAGAAAGCCAGAGAATTCCAGAAAAACATCTACTTCTGCTTCATTGACTAAGCAAAAGCCTTTCACTGTGTGGACCACAGCAAACTACGGCATGTCCTTAAAGAAATGGGAGTGCCTGACCACCTATTTATCTCCTGATAAATCTGTGTGTGGGACAGGAAGCAAAAATTAAAACTGGATATGAAACAACTGATTGGTTCAGAATTGGGAAAGTAGTACAACAAGGTTGTATACTGTCTCCCTGCTCATTCAACTTATATGCAGAATACATCATGCGAAAGGTGGATTGGAGGAATCCCAAACCAGAATTAAGATTGCTGGAAGAAATATCAACAACCTCCGATATGCAGATGATACCACTCTGTTGGCGGAAAGTAAAGAGGAATGAAAGAACCTCTTAATGAGGGTGAAAGAGGAGAGTGCAAAAAATGACTTGAAGCTCAACATCAAAAAAACTAAGATCATGGCCACTGGTACCATCACCTCCTGGCAAATAGAATGGGACCATATGGAGGCAGTGACAGATTTTACTTTCTTGGGCTCCATGATCATTGCAGATAGGTGACAGGAGCCACAAAATTAAAAGACACCTGCTTCTTGGGAGGAAAGCGATGACAAACCTAGACAGCATCTTAAAAAGCAGAGACATCACCTTGCCGACAAAAGTCTGCATAGTCAAAGCTATGGTTTTTCCAGTAGCAATGTATGGAAGTGAGAGCTGATGCTTTTGAATTGTGGTGCTGGAGGAGACTCTTGAGAGTCCCCTGCACTGCAAGGAGAACAAACCTATCCATTCTAAAGGAAATCAACCCTGAGTGCTCACTGGAAGGACAGATCCTGAAGCTGAGGCTCCAATACTTTGGCCATCTCATGAGAAGAGAAGATTCCCTGGAAAAGACCCTGATGTTGGGAAAGTGTGAGGGCAAGAGGAAAAGGGGACGATAGAGGACGAGATGGATGGACAGTGTCACGGAAGCTACCAACATGAATTTGACCCAACTCCGGGAGGCAGTGGAAGAGAAGAGGGTCTGGTCCATGGGGCCATGAAGAATCAGACACGACTTAACAACTAAACAACAACAACAAATGTGTTACAATTTCAAGCAAAGGACAAGGGGCTTTTATTATATGAAAAGGGTCAGCTCACTGGAAAAAGATAAGTACCATAGCATATGTGCTTTTACATACAAAATATTTATTTTATTTTACTTTCTGGTAAGCTTCATTATGTACTTGTCCCGGATTAAAACAGCTAACAACAATACAATAATTAAAAAGAAATAAAACAACTAAGAATAACAATGGTAAAACATTAAAAAAACAAAGGCAGACAACACATGGTAATCTGGAGAGCAGTAAACAATCAGCAGCTTCTTGTAGAGGATATGCCTTACAATGCAAAAATGGAGATTATCTCAGAC